AAATGACTCGATGGCACATAACAACAACAACAACAACAAGATTTGAGTAAAGAAAGTAACTATTCCAAACATGGTGGACCAAGACAAAGATGGTAACACAGACACAGAACCTCTCAGACCTGTTTCACGTGCCTAGTGGAGTGTTGATTTTGAACTCGGCACTGGAACCCAAAGCCCAGCTTTGCAACACTGGACTTGATCTGTTTACTACTGATAGTAGAACCCAGGTTCTGTTTTTGTGATGAGACTGGGGATTGCAGACAGGGCTGCCCTGTTCCCAGCTATGAAGAGCAATCATATTGGCTTCAGATTATACCCTCTAGTTTATAGTGACATGAGATTTTAACTACTGTGTCTTTTACCAGAACTTCTGGAGACAGACAGCCCTGAGATTGAAATCTGGCCTTGTAATGTGTATATTGTGTGACCTTGGGCATCTTAAGCCTGAATGTCATCAAGGGTAAAATGGAACTAATTCCTGCCTCAAAAGGATGATATGAGAACATAATGAATAAAGTTTGTCATGTTGTTATGTGCCGTTGAGTCATTTGAGACTCATAGCAACCCTATGAAAGTATGTTATAGATATGAAATATTTCATCATTGCTCATGATTCGATTAGAGGCATTTGGTAATACAGAGACATAAGGTGCACCTGATCCATGCCGTGGTATTCTCAATTAATTTGCTATGCCTTAGAGAGCTGGACAATGATTAAGGATGACAGAAGAATCAATGCCTTTGAGTTGTGGTGCTGGAGAAGAACATACGAGAGAACAAACAGATGTGTCCTGGAGAGGTTGAAATCAAGGTTGCTCCATCTCTCATACTTTAGGCATGTTACCAGGAGGGACCAGACCTCGGAGAAGGGGATATCATACTTGGAAAAGTGGAGGGTCAGCACAGGAGAGGAAGGCGCTGGATAAGATGGATTGACACAGTGACTGTGGCAATGGGTGCAGGGGTATCAGAGACAGTGAGATTGGCCCATTCTAGGACAGGGTTCAGAGCTATTATTCATGGTTATTATTCATGAATAGCTATTATTAATCTACGATGAGTTGTAGTGGATTTGAAGGCACATAACACTAACAGCAACCACCACCACCACCATATTAACAAATATACTGGATAGATAC